AGGCTGCTCCCGGTTGAGGCTGCTCCCGGTTGAGGCTGTTGTTTAACATTTTCGAAGGTGCTTTTTGATTTATTTGTATAAAAGATTGGATTATTGCCATTAAGGGATGTGTATCATTGGGAAAATCCAGGATGTTACTCTTTAGTGCTTTTGACTTCCCACGTTGTATTTTCTGTGCCGGCTGTTTCCAAGCAGAACCGAGATGGGTGTGCCAGTTTCACCGTGTGGTGGCATCTGCTGAGCCGCCCACAAGAGGACGTTTTAGGAGATTAGGGTTAAAAAGTGCCCAGACTGCAAGACATTGGACATGTGTGGCTGCAAGTCATCGGACATTCTTATGCTTATTAACTATCTGTATATATATAGGAAAAATATTGGCTAACTGGGCTGTCAGAAAGCAGTTTATCCGTTCGTCTGAAAGCCTCTCTGTTAGACTTCGCTGGTCATTGCGGGATGGTTTCTGTAATACTAAGATGATTTTCTGGGGGGGATGCGCTTTGAAATCAATGCTTATTACATAATTGGTGTTTGTCACTGACTGAGACAAGAAACAGTGTTCACTTCCTGTCTACCCTACCTCACTTCCTGTGTACCCTACACCTGAGCATCGCTGTGTTATTTCCAGAAGATGTTGAAACTGTGGCTGAGGTGCTGCTACCACTGAGGCATCGTCGGTGTGCTGAACCGACCAGGAACAGCGCTCCAGAACCGGCGGTACACGAATGGCCCAGGGAAGTCACCAGATTGACATTCGGGTTTTGCACGACCTGCGCCAGAAGTTCCCCGAAGTCCCGGAGGGTGTTGTGTCCCAGTGTGTTCTGCAGGTGAGTTTGAAGTCCACCCCTTATTGACCCATACTTATATTTAACAGTTGGTTGAATGACTGACATGGAGCTTCCTGTCTCCCCAGAACAACAACAACTTGGATGCCTGCTGTGAGTACCTGTCCCAGGTGAGCCCAGGTTACCTGTACAGTGAAGGAGGAAACGTCAACTACGCTGACGACCCGGGCTTCACCAGGCTCCGAAATCACATGACCCAGCTCAACCTGGGTCTGCAGACTCAGAATGTCAACGTGGCCCCGGGCCGGGAGAACCTGAGGATGAACGGCAGCCGGACTCTGTCCCACAGCCTCAGTGACGGGCCCCTCCAAGCGGGACAGGCCCCGAACAGTGACTATTTCGTGCAGGAGCCCCAGTCGGCCCCGGCGCATGGGCCCCCCGACCTCAATGTGTTCGATGTGATGGAGCCGGCACCGCGAAAACCCCAGCCCCCCCAGCACCTGGGACTCTACCAGCGGGGTGGCAAAGGACAGTCCCTGGGCCAGCAGACGCCCAGGTTCAACCCCATCACCGTTACTCTTGCTCCCAACATCCAGCCAGGTCGCAGCACCCCCACCTCTTTGCACATACATGGTGCTCCCCACACCCCCAGTCCCCAGTCCTTCTACATCCGGCCTTACGTGACCCAGCCCAGCGGTAAGGCCCAGCAGCAGCAGCAGCAGCAGGCAGGCAGGGCCCAGTACAGCCCCACCTCCCAGCAGCAGATCTACCAGATCTCCCATCCCACCTCACTGCCTGGCTCCAGGACCGGGCCCGGTTCCCAGCAGCACCAGCACGGCTCCTCGCATACCTCACAGCACCAATCCCCGGGCCACCGGACCTCTCACGTCTACATGCCCATTAGCTCCCCCACCAACCCGCAGGCCCCCTCCAATTTGCAGCCTCCGTCCGGGGGCCAGACCTCCTCCTCCTCCGGCACGCCCTTGGCCGTGTCCTCCATCAGCCAGTACAACATACAGAACATCTCGACCGGGCCGCGCAAGAACCAGATAGAGATCAAACTTGAATCTCCCCAGAGGAGCAACTCCTCCACCACCACCACCACCACGGCTGTCCTACGCACTGGCCCTGGCTCCCGATCCAACTCCTCCTCTTCCTCCCCCTGCCCCTCTTCCTCTGTGGTGGCAGCCACTGGCCCCTCTACCACCCCGCTGTCCATCGGGGGCCCGGGCCTGAGCCGGAGCCAGCCAACTGTTTACATCTCCGCCAGTCCGCCCGGCGCCCCTCCCACTGCCCCGCCCGATGAGGCCGCCCCCTCATGCGGCACGCGTTCTCAGCCCAAATTTTACATCACCGCTAACAACAACGATGACGGAGGGGGCCGAAACACCCCGACCGTTTACATCTCAGCGCAGCCTCCTTCGACGCACGGCTCCCAGGGGTCTCGGAACATGGGGGGCCAGGTGAGCATGGGCCCCGCCTACATTCACCACCACCCACCCAAGTCCCGCCTGTCTGGGGGAGGGGCCGGGACAGCCACCTCGCCCCGGGTGGTGGTCACGCAGCCCAACACCAAGTACACTTTTAAAATCACTGTGTCGCCCAACAAGCCCCCGGCCGTTTCCCCCGGGGTCGTGTCGCCCACCTTCGAGGCCACCAACCTCCTCAGCCTCCCCGCGGACCACCATTTTGTGGAGCCGGATCCGAATCATCTTTCGGACCCACTGTCGGCACACCGGGAAAGGCCCAGCGAGCCGCGGAGACTAAGCATGGGCTCAGATGACGCAGCTTATACACAAGGTCAGTCCAGGGCCGGGGCCAGCTACTCTGTTAACGCTCACCGTCTGTTGTTGTTTTCATTTTTAGCGTTCTGCTAAAACTCTTGACAATTGGCCAACTATAACAGAATTTGGTTAACCAGTTGATTATCGTAAGAATCAATCATTATTTCAGAGACAACCGAGGGATGCCTAAAATGAAAGGCATTTAAATGTTTCATATTTGAGCTCCCTGTTTCCTCCCATCATGTGCAGAAGTAAAAAGCCAAGTCCAACTACATACGGGCTGAGTTTAGGTGTAGTAAGCAGTACGCTGATAATGCATAACTTTGGTAGACTGGTAATTAGGTTGAGGGAATGATCAACCCCATGCAAGCAAGCAGCTAATCATTGTGTTACTTTTAGATTGAATCATGGCGTCGTTCAGTCACATGAAGAATTCAGTTGTTGCGACAGAAGTCAAGTGTCTCTGAGAACATCCAATTAGAGAGAGTCTGTAGATTGCAGCGGGAGACCAGCGAGTAGCAATAAGGAACCAGTATAGATTTGTCCGCCTTCTCACTAAACCATAAACTTTTTTTCCATTGCATTCTGCCAAGAATGTAGTTCGACTGCTGTGTAACATTGCTGCCTGGTTTTAACTTCAGTTTTTTCCATAATATTGACGCTAATGCATTTTTTCAGCCAAATATCCTAGACGTTGGTCTCATTACAAAACGCTCTCTGTCTTAAAACCCTGCTTTTCTGAAATCTGATTGGAGGGAGCAGATGAAAGGTGTTAGGAGCGTGTCTCGCGCGGGGACGGGCGGGCGGGCGGGCTGTGATTGGTCTGTTAGTCGTCATAAAGCTGGAGTCACTTGGATGCCCTTAGCCTCCGCAGCCGTGTGACTCAGATCGGTTCCGTCCCAGCGTTGCCTTTTTTGGACTTTTGATTACGCGTGAGACGTTGCCCGTGGCCCTCAATAGGTGCTGCCGTGACCCTCTACCCCAGGCCAGGGGCCCTGGGCTCCTTATCTCCTGCTGCGCCTCCACACATTCCTCTCTGGGTCATGTGACACTGTGGGGGAGTGGGGCCTTAGTGGTGGTGGTGGGGGAGGGGTGATGTTTTGTTTATTTCGGACTTCCTGTGTGCAGTAATGGTTAATCAGGTGACCCACACTGTGTTCCTTACAATGTGATAAAGTTTCGAACCCCAGAGTGAAGTTTGTTGTTTTCCACAGCGTTGTGCCGTTTGCATGTGTGCTGAGTGTGTATTATAGTCATTTAATAATTATGTGTTACAAGCCTGGTTTTCGCCAGTAACTGTTGTTGACTCAGCAAAAACTCCATTCTATAGTTGCCCATTAAATTGAGGAATGGTTATGTAACTCAAGATTTTGGTTCTGGCGACTGGGGAAATCCAGTTGTTCCGGTTCTCCAAACACAGCGTAAGGCTGTGTTGTGAATGGGTCTGTCTGTCTGTGTTAACGTGTCCTCTGTGTCCCCCAGCCCTGCTGATTCACCAGAAGGCCCGTATGGATCGGTTGTGGCACGAGCTGGAGCTGAAGAAGAAAAAGCTGGAGAAACTAAAAGAGGAGGTGAACGTGATGGAGAACGACCTGACCCGCAGACGGCTAGAGCGATCCAACTCCCAGTCCCAAATCCCATCGGTGAGCCAGTTAATTCTAGGACCACGCTGTCAATGTTTCAGTGGCTGCTTCTGATGACTTTCCTTCGCTGCAGATATAGCCGAGTCAGGTTTGATGACGAAGGTACAGCGGCATTGTTCTGAGGATCCGATTTCCTCACAGTGGTTCTGTACTGCCTACCGGGCGTTATTGCTTTTACATGGGGGTGTTTGCTGTTAAAATAATTGAGTTGATTTCTGGTAAACATTTCACCAGTTATTTGCAGTTGCATCTGGAGCAATTGGAGTAGCTCAGCGGTAGAGTGCACGTCGGCGTGGCTCAGCGGTAGAGTGCACGTCGGCGTGGCTCAGCGGTAGAGTGCACGTCGGCGTGGCTCAGCGGTAGAGTGCACGTCGGCGTGGCTCAGCGGTAGAGTGCACGTCGGCGTGGCTCAGCGGTAGAGTGCACGTCGGCGTGGCTCAGCGGTAGAGTGCACGTCGGCGTGGCTCAGCGGTAGAGTGCACGTCGGCGTGGCTCAGCGGTAGAGTGCACGTCGGGCGTGGCTCAGCGGTAGAGTGCACGTCGGCGTGGCTCAGCGGTAGAGTGCACGTCGGCGTGGCTCAGCGGTAGAGTGCACGTCGGCGTGGCTCAGCGGTAGAGTGCACGTCGGCGTGGCTCAGCGGTAGAGTGCACGTCGGCGTGGCTCAGCGGTAGAGTGCACGTCGGCGTGGCTCAGCGGTAGAGTGCACGTCGGCGTGGCTCAGCGGTAGAGTGCACGTCGGCGTGGCTCAGCGGTAGAGTGCACGTCGGCGTGGCTCAGCGGTAGAGTGCACGTCGGCGTGGCTCAGCGGTAGAGTGCACGTGGTGTATTAATGATGTCCTGGGTTTAATCCCCAGGTCGCCGTGGCAAATGAGAATTTGTTCCTATTCGTCCTACCTGTTTAAATAAAAGTAAAAAAATTAAATGTGTACATCAGTGAGAGACTTAATTGGTGTCAAAAAGAGTCTGGTCGATCAATGACAGCTGTTTTTTAAACGCAGGAGGTGTTGAACACGTTTTAATGTATATATTTACCTGCTCAAATGCAGAGAACTGTTCACATAGACCTGAGGCTGGTATAAAAATGCAGCCATGTTAGATTACCAATCATTTGGTCTGTTTAGGGATAATTATTATTTGGGGCAGTTAAAAAACCCACATTGTAATGTTTTTGCCCAACTCCATGTTTACTTTTAAGTGTGCAGCTGTTAGTTAGTTGAAAAACTTCAGTCTCCAAATCAAGCGGTGCATTGAGTTCTGTTGAATCAGCTGTTTTGGCAAGCCATTACAGTGTCAGTCAATGGAGGAAAGGCCTCTTGTGAATGAGGAAGTTCTCAGTGGTGGATCACAGAACACTCCCCCTGGTGTTGGAAGACCGCGCGCGTGTGTGTGTGTGTGTGTGTGTGTGTGTGTGTGTGTGTGTGTGTGAGCTTTTGCCAAGGCTCTGTCGCTATACACCATCACCTGGCCTCCTCGGTGGGCCTCCTCGGTGACCCTGTTCTATTCTCTCTCGTCAGATTGAGGAAATGCAGCAGTTACGATGCATAAACAGGAGACTGCAGATCGACATTGACTGCTTAACCAAAGAAATCGATCTCCTTCAAACAAGAGGTAGGAGGCTGGGTTTGTCTGTCAGTGCTGTGTCGATTGGACCCGCCGGTTCTGTCTGGTCTTAATACATGTGCTCCCAATCCATATGCAGTCTGTTACTCTGCTGCAACTGAGTTCTAGCTCAAGGTCAGGTGTGGTCCCCAGTGTGTGTGTGTGTGTGTGTGTGTGTTCTGCACAGGGGCGGAGCTTTAGGGAGGCGTGGTCAGAGGCAGCGGGTTTGACACTGGCCGGTCTGGCATCGGGTCACATCCCCTGGACACGGGCTGCCATTGTGATGTTAACTACCAGTTGTTTCCTGAATTGTGTCCTGTTACTGGTCGCTAATGGGTTTATTGCCACCCTGGGAGCTGTTCATGTGGTCGACAGGATTTCATGGAGCAGCGCAGGTGGACAGGGGAACAGTAGCACGGATGAATATCACGCCTTACTGAAGCAGTTGGAGAAAGATGTGTGGAGCAGTTGACAATAGGCTGGTTCTGAAAGTGGTTCTGTGTTGGAGGGTTGGTCTGTAGCCTGAGAAGTGCTGGGGGGCAGTGTTTCAGGGTCTCATCATTCTGTACGGGGACCGGCTCGTCCGTGTCTGTACGGGGACCGGCTCGTCCGCGTCTTGTACGGGGACCGGCTCGTCCGCGTCTTGTACGGGGACCGGCTCGTCCGCGTCTTGTACGGGGACCGGCTCGTCCGCGTCTTGTACGGGGACCGGCTCGTCCGCGTCTTGTACGGGGACCGGCTCGTCCGCGTCTTGTACGGGGACCGGCTCGTCCGCGTCTTGTACGGGGACCGGCTCGTCTAAGTATGACACACACACACACGCGCATTCATACTCTAATATGTTTCTGTGATGACTTTGGTCCAGTCTCTGTCCTGTATTGCAATCCCTTGTTTCTGTCTGTTTCAGGACCACACTTTAATCCCAATGTCATTCATAACTTCTATGACAACATTGGATTCCTAGGTCCTGTCCCACCCAAACACAAAGGTACTTTATCTGTTGGACACTCTCACTCCTCTCACTCTTACTCTCCTCTACCCTGTTTCCACTCGCCTCCTTTTTGGTGTTCATGTTCTGTGTATTTATTTGGTAGTCTGTTTTTAATGGGGATTAAGATGTGTTCCTGAGAGGGTCTCTATCATGTCTGTCGCCTGTCTCTGTGTCGCCTGTCTCTGTGTCGCCTGTCTCTGTGTCGCCTGTCTCTGTGTCGCCTGTCTCTGTGTCGCCTGTCTCTGTGTCGCCTGTCTCTGTGTCGCCTGTCTCTGTGTCTCCTGTCTCTGTGTCGCCTGTCTCTCTGTCGCCTGTCTCTCTGTCGCCTGTCTCTCTGTCGCCTGTCTCTCTGTCGCCTGTCTCTCTGTCGTCTGTCTCTCTGTCGTCTGTCTCTCTGTCGTCTGTCTCTCTGTCGTCTGTCTCTCTGTGTTGCCTGTGGTGAGGATAATTCCCATCACTTTTCCTGAGTGTTAACATTTAAGTGTCTGTGAAACCGGACATTGTTAGTGTGTTCAATTGCAGTTCCTGTTTGTTTTTCCCCTCATCTGTCATTGACCATTCATCGTGTGTGTGTGTGTGTCATCAACCTCACGCCCACCCCCCCTACAGCCTACTAGGGAAACACTGTCAACTCAACCCATTAATGTCGCAGTGACCTAATTTCAGTGTTAATGCAGAAAACAAACTAGCACTGCAAACTGTTAAGGCTGGTTACACTGCTTATAGGCCATTTAAATGAACCACTCTGACAGTCTGACCCTATTTAACTGATGTTCATTAGCCACACCTGACTGGGTGTTAATCTCTGTAACACGCTGGGTGAATAACCTCTGTCTCTTTTTATCTAGATTCGCGGAGTCCAAAGACGGTTGTAGATCAGGAAGATGACGAGGGTATGCAGTGGAATTGCACAGCTTGCACTTTCCTCAACCACCATCTCCTGAAGCGCTGTGAACAGTGCGAGTTCCCACGGCACTTCTGAGCCGCCAGCACCCCGGCAGTACGCGACACCCAGTACGCGACACCCAGTACGCGACACCCAGTACGCGACACCCAGTACGCGACGCCACCTCGCTCTTCTATGCCACACGAGGGAAAAACACGTTTTTAGTTTCTTTTTTTACTTCCAAGATTTGTTTAATGCTGTCCACTGAAGGCTTGACTGGATAGTGTTTACAGGTTGTGTTACTTTACTAAGCCAGCAAAGTTGGATCTTACCTCATCTTGGAGTGTCTGCATGCATGGGGGTTGCCCTCACTTCCTGTCTGATGCGTGGGGGTTGCTCTAACTTCCTGTTCGATGCTTGACAGGCAACGTTACCTGTGGGGAGGCTTTGCTGCTTCCATATACAGTATTATCAGTGTTGGCCGGCAGTGTGATGGCACGAACACGCACACACACACACACACACACACACACGAAAACCAACATGGATGCCAACATGCCTTTTTTGCATATTTGTTTTTTCTTTCTTCTACGATGGCCGAATCAGGAATGGGAACTTTGGTCAGCCATCACGTGACACCTGAAGGGAAAACTAACAGACTACTTATGGACACTGTTTTATCAGTTGCTGTTTCTATAGGATGATGAGGGGAAATACGCAGTGCTGTTACTGCCGCCCAGGCTTGCCGTTGGTCCCCGGTTGTCTTTTAGAGTCTCTTCGATATACAGTAAAAAAAGAACGGAAACTAAATTGCATGCTTTGTGTACAGTACATGGATGGAGATCAAGTGGCCTTGTGGTTTTTACTGTAAATAATTTTAGAATGTGCCTTAAATGCCTTCTTCCTTACACTATGAATCACTTGTATTTCCTGTAAGTATAGCTTTATAGACTTTATTAACTTTCTCTCATTTCGTTTCCATTTACTTTTTTGACCCAATACGGCACGGTTTCCCTTTACAAGCTTTCTACTTGATTTCTGTGAGATTTGAAGCGTTGCAGGTGTGAGAGTTGTCTGAGAACTATTCTGCCGTGAAGCTCTCTGTGCGTCGCCTGTGTAAATGCTGAAGTTCCTGTGTAATGATCGGCAGGTGCAGCAAAGTCAAAATATGGGAGTTACTTTGAGGACGCCAGAGCTCTCGGACCGGTGCAAAATGAAAGCTCTAAATGCGGTATGACAAACTGCCATCCTATCTGACAACTGGAATGTAGGTTTAATATTCGGGGGCTTTTACACCTCAGTGCCGTGAAACGCATGAGTTTTACAGTCCATTGTACGACTTGTATCGAAATAACTTTGATGAGCAAAGAGTGACTTTGTGAATGGTATCCGTGTACAGCTAGACGGACGGCTGTGGTTTCATGAAGGGATTTCAGGATCAGAGTTTTTTTGCTATGCATAATTAATTGGGTTTTCTGGAATGTTTCAAAGATCAGGATGAATGTTTTTAAGTGTTCCTAAATCAAATCAGCAATAATGTATACGCTCACCTCCAAAATGACTGCTACCTTTTGTTAAAGATCAACAAAAATATACTATGGACAAAACTCATTCAGTTATATATTATGTAAAATATTTTTGGGGCCACTATTATTTTAGGCCAAATGTATGTATATAAAGTTGGATTTGGGGGAAAAAATCATAGAATCATCCAACGCTTTCAAATCCCTAATCAGTGTTTAGTATAGAAAGTCTGCTGAAAAAAATTGACCGTTAACTGTTAGTATTTATCTAAGAAATTTGATTTTGATTCAGATGTTATCTTTTCTATGTTTTGAGCATACACTAGCTTAGTTTTTTATATGGTGCCTTTTACTCATGTTTTTCAGAGGTATCAATGATTTTGGAGGTGACTGTATGTTCCTTAGCATATTTTCCAAGCCCAAAAATGTAAATAGAAAATATGGATAATTCCATGGTTATATTTCTAATGAAGTGAGACACAGTGACTGTCCTCTCTTGACAATTGTTTTATTTGGTTTAAATTTTGTCCTGTGGAGCTTTTCTTTGATGATCATTTAAAAGATTACCATGGTGATGATTTTGCCTTAGTTGAGAAATATTTTATTTACTTGCTGTGATCTGCTGCCTTACATCACTGTCTTAGATTGGCATTTGCATTGACAATCTTTTCAGTCTCAAATGTCCGAAAGCCAAATTCTTAGTTGTCTCTTAAGCACTTATGTCATATCTGTAAAAGCCCCAAAGAAACCAAGTTTTTAGCTTTATCTGCAACTCTGTGTGAAGTCTGTTCATACATGTTTTATTAATTAAAAAATAACTAATTTGGATATCTAAAGCGTTTGATTTTAGCTGGGAAAACTG